CCTGTCTTAAATTGCCTCTCATATATCTTGCCACAATGCTAACACAAGTAACTAATACAGAAGAATTATATCAGAAAAGTGAGGTTATTGCTAAATCAAGCCTGACCAAGAGATGTTTGAACCCTGGGAAAGGATTTTCAGGAGGGATTTGGAAGAGATTGGAACTGAAGACTACAGATGTTCTAGGATATACCAGTCTCCACTTAATGGGGGATTCTGCTATGAGGCTGGACTCCAAGAATGCCTGAAGAATGGTGGACCACAAAGACAGAACCCATGAGGTTTCAGGTGCAAACTGAACTACATTGGAGACTGGACTCTAGACCATACATGTCACATTTGTGCAAAGAACCAAGCTACGTTTTCCCTTGCATCCTCAAAGTTGAGTGAGTGTGAACTCTATTGAATTGGTTGTTTTGTAGAGGAAGTTTTGACACATGTAGGCTTCAGCATTGTTACTTCCCAGAGCTTTAAGCCAAACTGACTCCAAGATTCAGGTCTAAAGATCAGAAAAAAATTTGAAAATGTACAGTTTGAAAGGAGAGTGACTGAATAGTGTGGACAAAGCAGATGTAGATAAAATGGCTTTAACAGACAAAGAGATCAGCACCGTTAAACAGAAGATACTCAAGAGACACAGAGACCAGTACAGCCATAGTCCAAGGGACCAGCCACATCTCAGAGTCTTGAGACTCAGAAGAGACTTTGAACCTTGGCTATTTGGATGAGTTGGAGTTGTTGTCAGTGTTATGAGAACTCTCAGATTTGGACTAACGGAACGTCTCATCATTAGATGACCATGAGCCTTCAGGAGCAAGGGACAGAAGATTGTGATTTGAGTCTGAAATGCATCCTACCAACTCATATCTGGAATACTAAATTACCTGCTTTCAGTGCCATTTTTGAAGGCTGTGCAACCTTTGAGTGAGGCCTTGAGGATTGGCAGAAGTCATTAGAGCTTTTGATGATTCTGGTTGAGACCAGTTCTTTGCTGCTGCTGGACCACACATCAGTAGGGAGTGGAATGTACTTCTCCTGCTCTCCATGATAAACACAAATCCCTCTGAAACTAAGAGCTCAATTTCAGTTAAAGTCTTTGTTTGTACACACTAGAAAGGAACGAACCCTTCTGAAAGTTTTACCACCTTGGCTCCACGTGTGATGAAGGTTCTCTGAAGCTGTCCCGAGACTAATCTTGACCTGCCTTGTTTTACCCCTGTGTTTGCATCACAGCAATGTGAAAGCAATGACCAGCACAAGTGGTGGTCCAAGGTCCTCCTCTCTCCACACACTAGCTTCCAGGCACTCTTTACTCTGTCACTGGACATTTACAAGTTTTTCACTGTCACTTTATTATCTCTTAGACAAGTCTTGAGTTCTTGAAGAAACTCTGTGTCCCAGAGCTGAAGTCCTTTTGTTTCTAGAAACATGAAAGAAAGCCACTGCTGCCTCTTGATTAGGAATGGCAGAAATAGCAGAAATATGATAGGAAAGCTGACCTTAAACTTTGGACACAAAATCCAAACATCTACTTGTTACATGATTTCAAGATGTTCAGCATCTAAGTTCACATTTCAGCCTGTCTGGCATCTGGGGCTGGGGCTGTTCAGAACACTCCCTTAGCATGAGGGAAAGCCTGGGTTTGATCCTCAGCAGCTCCCACCACTGCCATGTGACCTCTCACCATGCTTGCCTCAGCTTTGGCCTCAGTCTCAGCTCTGTTTCTGGCTGGACCACACACCTTCTCAGAAGAAACATAGGGTCAGCATATGTCTTTCCAATCATCAAGACAAGTTACACATTTGAGGTTCTTCAGTAATACTTTCCCTGTCCTCAGTATGAGATGTCTGTGACTCCACTTTGTACACTCAACATGTGCACATGAAAGCACATACATGTGCAGCACACACTCGCATGTGTGCATGCACACACATACACACACTGTATGATTAGTAAGGTTTTTCAGTAATAATTGCCCTATCCTAAGTGTGATGTCTGTGACTCCACTGTGTACACTCAACATGTGCACACACATGCACATACATGTAGAACACACACACACATGTATATATACACACACACTGTATAATTATTAAGGAGATTTTTCAGTAATACTTGCCCTGTCCTCAGTGTGATATGTCTGTGATTCCACTCAACATGTGCACATGAATGCATACATACATACATACATACATACATGCAGAATACAGATTCACATGTGTGCACACACACTGTATATTTAGTAAGGAGCACATGAAGACACAGCAGGACCTGGGACATGGCAAGATGAAACCCCAAAAATGCCAATCATGTCTGAGTTCCCACCAGAAAATAAGGGTTGTCCTTGCTGCATGAACAGATTGACTTCTGCAGGTCTCCACGGTGACCCTTGACTTCTATGATGGGCTAAGCGGATTCCTTGACTGATGGTACTTTGTTTTAGAAATGCTTTGTTTGTTTTTACTGTGACATTTGGAAGAGGGTCTGGAAGCGCTCTAAAGTTTGCGGCTTTTACTTGGCAAAAAAACCAACCACTTCTCTTTAATTTCCAGGAGTCACACGAACACGTTGTGCAATAACTTTATTGGAAATGAGAAATTAATGTAGATGGGCTGACTTTCCCAACCTCTCTGTTGTGCTGCTCACACTGAGTGTGTCTCCAACTCCACTGGTGAGCTGGGCCCCGACACAGATTCCCTCCCTAGGGAGAGTCACAGAAAGACTCAAGGGATTCCTCTTATCTGCAGAAAAGACTGGGGAAGGGTTACACACAGGCATCCAGGGCCTATCCACACTCATATGGTGATCCAATATGGACACTCTTTAGTCTCTAAAAGACCCTTTACTTAGATGCTTGTTCCCCATCCAGCCCCTGATATAAAGAACCTACTTGTGCTGTCTCGTAATGCCAAAATCCTGGATCCTTTCTCTTAGATTACGTTACATGCCAAGCAACCTTTGACCTACACATGAAGTCCTTGACACATCTGGACCATCACAAGACATGAGGCCCTCAGGTGAATATTTGTACATCTGTTTGGAACCATGAAGATACTCTACCTCAGTTCCTTCCTTTCCCCCATTATTCCCTCCTTC